TGTTTGAACTTGTATGGGTTCATTGAGGAAGAATATCGTCTGGTGCCAGTGAGTGGGTGTATCTTGAGGACTAGTACTGAAGTACACACGATAAGAGGGAACCTCAAACCCAATGTCAAAGTATCCAACAAGACCCTACAACATATTAATAATAAACCAGACCTTAGGGAACGTAACTGTTTAGAATAATAGAATAATTTTTAGTGCCAAAATTTTGCAAGTCAGTCAAAAAAGATCCGAAAATACAAATTTTTGTCTTTGTGCATAATTTTTTGGAATAAAAAATTACTACAAAATTTCCAGCTATGTACATATACATGTAGTTGCTTATCATTGACTGAAATTGAAAATGTTCTTAGTTTCTACATGTATTTGATAGATGCATAGCATACATGTACATGTAATACATTGATAGACTCACATAGCAGGTGTCATTTTGCTTTATGGTAAGCGTGAAACTTGATTTGAAATCAAGATCACTCGCTTTGACTGTTGCTATATCAAATTTCTATAAAATAAAATAAAATAAAATTGACTGAATTAACCTACATGTACTTGAACATAAAATAATTTAAATTAACTGTGTGGTTGTATCAAAGGCCCCACCAAGTCATAAAGCACATGCAAGAATATTTTACGCCCACACAGATAATTATGTTCCAAACCTTAATGACGTCTGATGTTGAAATGAGACAATACTCATCAACTAGTTTGACTGTTGGCTCAAGTAAAACTTCATCCTTCATACATGACATTTTAAAACCTAAAAATGTGAAAATATAAATCATTACAAAATAAAGTAGATATAAACATTCATTATGTACATGTATAGTATAATAGCATCAATGGATGTACAAAAAGCAATTTGGTAAAAAAATTGTGAACTTATTGATTCTTGTTTGTTTAATTCATGTCCTTGTTAAAATAATAATAATAAACTGCTCACCTCTAACATTCTCCCAGAATTTGATCTTTGAGTTATATTCATATCCATCTCCCATGGCAACCAGACTCATGTTACACCTGTTAGGATAAACTGATGGAAAGAGAGAGTGAGAGAGAGAAAGTCAATAATTGCCAAACTCATAATTAACATGTTCCCAATCGAAATTCTTAAATTTGCTCAAAAATTTGATTTAAGTCCCTGTACATGGTCTAACTCAGGCCAAATTTTGCCAAAATTAAAAGGAGAGAATTCTCCATTTTTACATT